CCTGCTGGCCACTGCATCGCACTGACGGCTCATGTTCACGTGATGGTCAGTCATTACCCTGAGGTCCCTTTCGGCCGTGGTACAAGTCAGGCTGTCACCTCTGAGCCTGTATGTATGTTGAGGGTTATTTGCCCCCAGATGGAGCACCCTGCACTTGGAAGTGTTAAGCTTCATCTGGTTCTGGTCTGCCCAACTCTCTAGCCTGTCCAGGTCCGCCTGCATCTGCAACCTATCTTCTGGCATGGCTACACTGCCCCATAACTTGGTGTCAGCCACGAACTTGGCCAGTGAGCTTTTCACTCCCCCATCCAAACCATTGATAAAGATGTTGAAAGGCACCGGTCCAAACACAGACCCCTGAGGGACACCACTGGCCACTTTGTGCCAGGATGACACAGATCCATTCATGAGAACTCTCTGGGTCCTACCCTGTGGCCAGTTTCCCACCCACTGAACTGTCGAGCAGCTGAGCCTGTGTTACTAGGCTACTGCACAGTTAGCGTCTCATGTAAATGCACCCAGTGGCTCTATACAAGAAATGTACAAAACAACTTGTGATATTCATTGCTGCAGAATCCTCAGGAGATCAGCTTCTACCCTATGTTCTTTTTCTTCACAGTGAGCTGTAGCAGGCAGACTCTTTCATTAATTATGGTTCCATGACTTTAGCACATCATTATGCAACCTTCTCCTTTGCACTTAAATTGAAAGCAGCAGAACAGTGCACACATCAGTGCTCTGGGATGTACTCAGGGCTGCAGCAGTTAGCTTGCCTGCCAGTGAGAAAAAAGGTGACATTGAGGTAAAAGGGAGAAAAAAATTGGACTGTGACTCCTTTGGGTGCACAATTACAATCCTGTCTACATTGCAGTTTACCATGTTGACAGATAGTTCTTACCTAATTAATATATTCATTTTAATAAATTGCTCTTAATGTATTGTTTACTCTAAACTGGAGTAGAGAATATGCTAACGTGGCTGATTACAGTCTTACTTCAGCAAAGCATGTAAATGCATACTCAAATCACTGAGTTAAGCATACTTAAATTTTACTTGCTCCAGTGCTTCACTGAATTAGGATGGACAGCTCAAAATGGGTTGTAACAGGGGTCCCAGCACTATGCGTGAGTTTGAGAAGCAGGGCAGAGATGAGTTTGCTGTATACACAGACCAGCCCACATCTGTGTAACTGGCTTAGAGAGAGAAACCTGTTAAAGGAAACCATTATTTTGACCTATGGTGGGCTATATGGCAGAAGCATTTCAAGAATAACAGGATGAACGAATACAGAAAGATTAAATAAAATTGAAGGGTCATCTACCAGAACACCACAGACATCTGCCAAATAAATACTTTTCCCCTAGGAAACCAAGGTATATTCCATAAAACACTGGGACTTTAAAGATTTTGGGTCAAGATTTTTCAAAGAGGGATGTCTGAAAAAGCAGATAAGTGCTTAGTGGGATTTTCTGTTTCTTTTGGAACCTAACTCTCTTTGAAAAGCTCTTTCTTTGTATTTAAGAGGTTGCTGCTGTGATTGCTGTAATAGGACCCTCTGGTGGAGTTTCATAGCTGAATATATTAACAACAGTATTCAGAAGCTGTCTTTTTTAGTCTAGGTTGGTTGTTTTGCATCTAGATTGCATTTGTACCAATTTACAGGTGCCACCCTGCCCTATCTTCTGTATTAATTTAGTACCCCTGGTTATATTTAAAAATTATCCTAGACACTACTTAGCAGAAATCCCTTCTTCATTTTTAGAAGGTTCTGAATCACCCTAGCCTTGTATTTAAAAATACATTAAATACCAAGCAAAATGGATAGGAGGTCAGAGACACTGGGCAGATCTACACATTCATTAATGTGCATTTAGTTTACTACTTCTTTAATAAAGGACTAACTAACTACTACTTCCTTAATAAAGGATTAACTAACCTAAAGCTACTGTGCATTAGTGCTGGTGCAGTGTTTAGTGAGGCTTACTGCGCATTAGCCTAATAACATTGTACAGCAGCTATTAGCACAGGTTTTGCCATGATACACTACTGATCAGTGTTATTAAGCCAATGAGCTGTAAGCGTCTTGTGTAGATGCACCCATTGTTTATCACAGGGGTGGGCAAAATACAGCCTGTGGGCTGCATCTGGCCTGTGAGGCCATTCTATCCAGCCTGTGGGGCTCCTAAAAAAATTTTGAAAATTAAAATGTATCTGTTCTTGGTTTCTGTCAAAAATGACAGGAACCAGGGGCACTAGGACCCAGGGGAAGCACGACGGGCTCCTGCAACAGCAGCGCCCACCCCACCCTGCCTCCCCACCTAGGACCTCCTGGCTACACCAGCCTGGAAAACTCAGGTAAGGTAGGGTGTGGGAAGGGCAGGGGAGGAGCTGGTGTTGAGCACAGGGAAAAGCAGCCCCTCACCCACCCCATGGCTGGCACTCCCTGCTGCAGCCACTCAAAGCCCGCGCAAGGCTCTCCTGAGCAGGCACAGGCAGCCCCATGTGGGCTGTGAGTGGCTGCAGTGTGGGGCGCCGGACACGGGGCAGGCACGAGGCCACTTTTCCCGCACTCAGCACCAACTTGTAGCCTGGCCCTGCGCTGGCTCCAGGCTTGCCTTTCTGGGCTATGCTGCAGCAGCAGCAGCAGCTGCAGCTTTCAAAGCCCGCGCAAGGCTCTCCTGAGCAGGCACAGGCAGCCCCATGTGGGCTGTGAGTGGCTGCAGTGTGGGGCGCCGGACACGGGGCAGGCACGAGGCCACTTTTCCCGCACTCAGCACCAACTTGTAGCCTGGCCCTGCGCTGGCTCCAGGCTTGCCTTTCTGGGCTATGCTGCAGCAGCAGCAGCAGCTGCAGCTTCCCTGCTTGCCGCACTGGGCAGCGTTTGCTGCTGCTGCCCACCAGCAGCAGCAAACACTGCCCAGTGCAGCAAGGCGGGGCCGCAGCTGCTGCCGTAGTGGTGCATTCCCCAGTGGGCAAGCCCAGAGCCAGTGCAGGGCCCAGGCTGGCAGTGGGGGTGGGTTACAAGCTGGTGCTGAGTGCAGGGTGGAGAAAAGCAGACCCTCTTCTGCTCTATGGCCAGTGCCCCATGCTGGAGCTGCTCACAGCCCGCGTGCGGCTGCCTGTGCCTTCTCAGGACAGCCCCGCACAGGCTGCGAGCGGCTGCAGCAGGGAGCGCTGGTCATGGGGCAGGCGAGGGGCCACTTTTCCCCACACTCCGCATCAGCTCGTTCCCTGCAGGCAAGCACGGGGTTGGGACTGTGTACTGTCCCCCGCCTGTATTGTGGGGCTGGGGGGATGCTGGGAGTGAGCAGGTGCGGGAGCACAGGGCCTGCACCAGTGTCTCGGGGCTAGTACTGGCAGGGGGCGGAGCAGGGCAGCAGGGGTACAGGGTCCCAGCCAGCAGGGGCTTTATGGAGCCGGGCCAGCTCCCCCCTCTCCCTGCTGGTGCAGCCCAGCCCGGCTCCACAGACCCCTGCCAGCCTGTGCCCTGCTCTGGGCCCCACCGGTGCTGGCCCTGGGACATTGGTCTCAAGATGGTGACCAGGGGGAAGGGTACCTGTCAAGGGGCGGGGCTACCCATGCAGCCCTCCACAACTTACCAAAACTGGGTAAGTGGCCCTCCGCCTGAAATAATTGCCCGCCCCTGGTTTATCACTACTGGATGACATTTTGAGATCTGATTTGCAGGAAACTTCATTCTGAAATGCTACATTTTGACTCCTAAAAATGTCAGCATAGGCCATTAACCAAATTCAACCTAAGGCATAAATTGGAACCTGAAACTGACTTGACTTTTCAGTGCATAAACTCTTACTGTGAAAAATTTGGCTAGTTTTAGATAGGAAGAAAGAATGATATATGGTCATTCCCTTCTCCCTCCACTATTAGGAGACAATCACAATTTAAGTCAGGACCTCATTTAATATGCTACGGCTACTACACTTAATATCGAGCCAAAAGATCACAAGCAATTTATAAGTCCCTTCGTCTTGATTATACAATTGCTTATCTGGCTCTGTCCGCTCACCAATCTTAAAACTTCTCTCTGTATCTGGCACCAATTCAGCTCTACCAAGTTGTTAACAAGACTTTGGGTGGATGAACCACCAGCTGCTATATAGGATCAGGTATCCTGGTTGTTGCTGTATTGGTCTTACCAGCTGCTATACGCATTTTCAACCTGCTTGCTTGGAGCTGGTCCCAGCCCACCTATGCTGGAGTGCTCAGGGTTTTTGCTAAGGGCTGTTGAGATGAACCTGTCTGTTAACAAGATAGGCTTGTGCATGCCAGTTTAAAAGTAGAAAGGGCCTAGTGACAGTCCTATGCTGTGTTGGTGAGCCAAGAGGTGATATGAATCCCGATGAGCCCCTTGAGGACTCCTTCACGGGATAAATGAAGGCAAATTTAAGCAACAACTAAAACTCAGTGATGTGTGTAGCGCTCTTTAATTATTATTTATGCCACAAACTGTTTCCTGTCCTGAGTTTCTTTTATCTTGTACAGTTTTCCTTTCCAGGTGGGGTCGGGCTCCCTGCTGATTTAATCTCTTAGGTTTCCCTTCTCCATCATCGCCTGCTGCAGTGATGTTGCTTGCAAAGAGGCCACCTTTGTCTAAAAGCCCTCCCCTCTCCCGCTGTCCAGGAGCTATTTTGGGAAACAGCAGCTGAGCTGGAGGATTGTTAATTGTTTGTCAAACCCTTCCAGACCAGTTAGATCACATGCAGAGATTAGAGTGCACAGTCACACCCTTTCCTCCACCTCCTTTTCCTATCCCTCCCGTGACTGGGGGAGGAGGGCAGAAAGGGGAGTGCTCTTTCTGCAAGCAGACACACACACCTCACTGACACATTGTCACAAACACAGCAGATGCACTTGAAGCCAGCCACAGCTGTGCCAGCAGCGCTGACAAATTCACAACACAGTCACTGTCTAACCAATCCAAGTTCGGACAAAGATCCTGAAATGTATCCAGAAACATAGGCAGACAAGGTTTTTTGGGTAAATCTTGTATCTTTTATTAAACCAAGTAAAATAGTTGGAAAAATTCTTCTTTGCAAGCTTTTGGGCACAAACACCCTTTGTCAGGCTGAAGAGGCATCTGCAGTTGGTCTGTGCTCTTGCTGGATGGAACAGAAAAGAAACTACAACATATACTTCAGAAACAGCACTCTCATCTCAGCCAATCAAGGCATGGACACTGAAATACAGAAACATCGTAAAGCCAATTGGGGCTGAGAGTAACACTGGCACATTTGCCTGCATTGTGCATGCAAATTCCAACTAATCAAAGTAGAGAGACTCTCTTTCCTCTCTCACATGCACACACCCAAGAGGCAGGCAGACAGACAACAAAGCCACCCAGGGCTCTGACCTCAGAAGCCACCATGTGACTCTGTCTGAAACTTACTAAGGCATTACATCAGCCTGGAAATGAAAGAAGAGAGCTGGGACCAAAATATTGGTTTTCTTAAAAGGGCAATTGTATGGAGAGTTTTTAGAAAGACTGGACTTTGCTTGAAGGATCTTTCCCTCTCTGTGCCTGCCTTGACTCTTTCCCTCTCTGTGCCTGCCTTGCCTGGTTTGCACACAACTTAGAACTGTGGGAAGGGCACCTTTAACTTAAAACCTTTTAATGTTTGTGAAATCTTAAAAGGGTGCCACCCATTTAGGCCCATGACATTTACACTGAGATAGAATTTGTGCCTGTCATGCTCTGCTCTGTAAATTGAGAGAATCCTTGTCCATTCACTAAACTGCATTCCCCCAGCATCGGGCAGCTGTGAAGTTTTATTGAGATAGAAAAAACTGGGAATATGAAGGTATTAGTTAACATCTGTTCATTTAAAAATTAAATAATATTTTGTACTTCCATAGAGCTCCTGTAATTCAGATTCACCATGAGACTCTGGAGAACATTGAATATTTTCCGTAACTCAGAAGCTGTCTCTCACAGAAGGCTAACATCGACAAAGAAATCCAATATCACCTCAGTGTGCAAATGCAGCCTTTGGACACCTGGGAAACAGGTGTTTGAAGATCGTGACATCAAATCTGAAACCAAACTCATGGTTTATCAAACAGTTGTGATCCCCACCTTACTGTACAGAGCTAAGATGTGGACAACCTATAGGACCTCAAGTTATTGGAGAAGTACCATGAGTGCTGCCTGTGAAAGATCCTTCAAATCCAGTGGGAAGATAGACATACCAACATGAACGTCCTCTTGCAGGCGAACACCATGAGCGGCGAGGTGGCGATAATCATCCAACATCAGCTTTGCTGGGGCAGCCACATCATCTGGTTGTCCAACTCCTGACTCCCAAAGCAAGTTTTATTCTCCCAGCTCAGTCAAGGAGCATGCCCAAGAGGAGGGCAGAGAAAGCGCTTCAAGGACATCCTCAAGGCCAACTTGAAAAAGGCAACGTTGGCATCAACTCATGGGAGACTATCACACAGGACTGCTACAAATGGAGGAAGAGTCTGCTGCAAGGATCTCAGTACTTTGAAACCTTATGATGACAACAGGAGAGGGAAAAACAGGAGCAGCAGAAACAGTCTCGCAGAGTGAATCAAGAATCCGGAGCCACCCACCCCACACAGAAACATGAGCCCAAGTTGCAAAAGAGTCTGCTATTCACAGATCAGCCTCATCAGCCATCTTTGGACCAACAGATAAGACAGTCATGGAAGACAATCATCCTGGCTGCCAGGGAGTGCTGAACAAGTGTTTTTCAAGCAAGAATCTCCACGATTTTTCAGCACTACCAGATTTTATCTCACAAGATGCTTTTTACCCAAGGAATAACACTTTTACTGCTGATGCAGTAGAAATACCTGCATGAGTCTTCGGTTAAAATGTTGGTAGCACATCACCAATAATGTGGCTTTAGTTCCAACATTTTGAGGAGGCTTTATATCTCAGGTTTTGGCACTGTTCTGTCTCTAATCTTGATTCACCTCAATCTTTCTGAGGACTCAGTGATGAAATGAATCAGTAAACTCCAAAGGCTGAGTGCTTTACTCAGGTATGGGAGCTACTGAAAGTCAGGTTTCTGGGGTAAAGAAAGCACTCCCTCACCAATGATGATCACTTTATTCATCAGGTATATGCATCAGGAAATCAATATGAATTTCCCCTAAACAAAGACTAACAAACCTTAACATTCAAATTGGAATCATCTTTGAGTGACATCACAGACCCAGATCCTGCAAGCTGAAGAATCTGTGACTCTTCTGGTGTCACAAAAAAGAGTTTAACTTGACTTGTAACAGCCTAACACCCGCCAGTCACATCCTGGACATATGGCAATATATCAAATGTGAACAAGGCTGTTATAGATAGATACCACCAATTGGAATTCCAAGCATTCAGTCCCAGACTCAGCTTTTCTGGTTAGGTCTTTATTTAAGAGGTAGAGCTGTCAACGTCCTGAGGCATAGGATCATGATACAGAATCTGGTTCATTGGGTCTAGAAATAGGAGCCAATTTCTTTTCCTTATATCAGTCATTTCCCTTCACATGATCCTGCTTCCTTCTCCTTCTTTGTTTGCTGAAGACTGCACAGGGAACAAACAACTTGTGAGGCATGTACATGACTGTGGTGTTCTCCATAACTTGAGAAAGACTGTTGTTGCTGAAGAAAGTGAAAGAATTTCCAAGTCATAAAAAGAGATTTTGTACCACTGTAGCTTTCACAGTTTGGCATGTTTTAAGGTTTCCCAATTACAGTAATGAGAATTGTATTATGCTGGGTTTGTGTGGAGGCTAGGGGATACCAAACCATGTTTTGGGAGATGGTTCTGTTGTTTTCAGAACTCATTTTGGATTTAAACTATAATTGATGACTTAGTGGAAAACATACATTTTGAAGCTCTTCCAGTCTAAGATACTGTCTAATGTATTTGTGGGGGGTTTTCTTAGGGTGAGAGCCAGCATTTGGTTCAACAGTACTCCTGAAAGGAAAAATGGCTGGCATAACTTTTGGCTAGTGAGCTTCTACCTCAGGACAGGCTAACTTGGAGTCATTGGTGCATAAAGGGTGAATTGTTGTGTGTGGGAGAGAAAGAATACAACCAAAGGAATAGGAATACATTCAGTAACTACTGGGGAATCCACACACATAGGACTCTGTTGGGATTGTGGAGAAATTCCATCCGGGTATTTGCCTATGTAGGAAGGACAGTCTGCCTTTTTTAGCAAAATAATGGTTCATTTTCTACTCTGCTTCTTGTAAAAGCTCTCCTTGTGTGCTGCATTTCAGCTCACAGATGTTCCCATTTCCACCCCCAGATGACTCCATTTATAGCCTTCATATGTTGGTTAGCATGCCAGTGGAGGCTGGGAAAAATACTTAGGAATCCAGGGAGAAGTCTGAAGTGCTTCAGAAAAAAATGCTGTTCCTTTTTCTGTCTTTCTCTGACTAGTGTTAGAAAACAGATATTTCTGAAATCCAGAAGTGTGGCAGGTAGTACTGTGATTTGTAACAAGCAGCAATCTAGAGAAGTAGAATCGACAGACAGCATGGTTTTGTGAGAAGAGACTTTGTATGTTATCTTAAAAAAAGGCTATAGAAGAGAAATGTATAAGATGCCCTGCAATCAACAGTGGATTATTAACTACTGATATGTAACAATGGACAGGTGAGAGTTAGGTGTAGTTTTACATAGAAAAGCCTTTGTATTTGTGTGCCCAGGTTGAGCTATATAGGACCTGATTTTTAGAGTGCTTAGTATTATATGACAGTTTATATGTTCAGAGCATAGTTCCCACTGACCTAAATTGCAGTTGTGAATACATCCCCTCAGGACCATCCTTCCTACATACTGAATGAGAGAGGTACGCTGGAAAAAATGAAATGTGATCAGGTAATTAAAGACTATGCACAGCAGGAGCTGAATTACATTTTTCACAGACAACCTTAATTCCTGCATCACTTGACTTCTGAATGTTTAATTTGGCAGGCGTAATATATTATTTTCTATTTTTTAATGTAAGTTCTTAGGCTTTCAAAAAAGCCAGCTGGACACAACAGAATTTCTGTCACATGGAACCAAACTGCTCCCCAAGTTGGGTCAGCAGCAGAGTTGTGATGTTGAGATACACAATACAGAATTGTGTCCCTTGAGTCAACCCCCTACAAGTGGGCTTGAGATGGGAAGCAAAGACTATGCTTCAAACCAAAAAGCTCTATTGTCCTTTCTGCCTGAAGAAAAGAGCATGGCAGCACAGCCTGGTGACTCAGGGCAGGGTTTCAGCCTGGGGTAGGCATTGCCTCTCACTCAGCTGCAGAGGAGGAGAGTTTTAGAACCCAGCTGTTCCCTATTCCAGGTGAATACACCAAGCCGTGCTGTGGCTATATGCTGGCCCAGAGTGAAGGTCTACATTTAAGTCCTTTTACCTGTCTGATGGCTTCTAACTTCAGTGCTTGTCCTCCTGTAGCCCAGAAGTGGCCCTAGGACTGGCCCAGCCCAGTGCAGACTCAGCAGGTTAGAGAAACCCTCTCCATATCAGGGACTTGCACAAAGTGCAGTTTGAGCATAGTGCCTTGTCCCCTTCCTTTGGCAGAGGCCTGGAGAGTAGCAGGTTTCCCATGTCTAACAGAAGCTTCAGGTCAGGGGTGGCTTGAAGTTGGGGCTGCTGCCTTGGATGGCATCCAGGTAAATGCAGGGGCCACAGCCTGGAATGGCCACCAGGGCTGACCACGTTTTCTTAGTGGTGCTGCAGGGGTCTGGGTTCCAGCCCGCTTCCCTGGAATGCCTCTTGCCCACTGAGGGGTGGAGTGGGAGGCATGTTGGTAGCCACTAGGTTGTAGCCCAGTGGTAGGTGAGCTGGCTTGCTAAGGTTGAGGTCCCAAGTTTGAGTTCCCTCTTTGCCTGGGTTTCTAGAGCTGCACCTCCACCTTTGCTCTTTCCCATTCCT